ACCTTGGCAACGAGCTTTGCGCGTACGCTCTTGTATAGGCTGCTGCATTCGATTAGTCAGCAGCACCCAGCTGTGCACGTTCGGAACGTAGTGGACGATGTCCACGTGCAGGCGCTAGGCTCCGAGGCGTTCGTGACCAAGGAGCTTGGGGATGTCGGTGTAAAAATGACCAAAGGCTTCCGTCGTCTTGAACTGGTCTTGGCGGACCACAAGAGCCACTTCATTGCATCCTCTGCCCGACTTGCCAAGGGTCTTGAGCATCGATGGCAGGGCCTCCGCTTCTCCAGGAAAGGGGTGGTCCGCAGCCTGGGATCGGATGCTACGTGTGCTAGGAGGCGTCGCAACCCCACCTGTAAGTCCCGTCTGCTCAAGGGGGCCAAGAGGAGCTGGAGACTTAGGCGCCTCAGAGGAACTGCGGCCATTCATCGGGTACAGCGTGCTGGGCCACAAGCGACGGCTCTATGGGGCGCTCCTGTCACTGGGCTCACTGGTGCTCAACTTCGAGGCCTTCGGCGAGGAGCCCTGAATAGCCTTCACAAGGTGAAGGGCACGGCCTCATTGGGGCTCCGTCTACACTCGTCTGCAGCTGGTTTAAAGATGGACCCCATGGTCCTGTACCATAGCCAGGTTGTGCTTTTTTGGGCTCAGGCCCTCTGGGACGGGAGACCCTCTCTCCAGCTCCTCCAGCAGGCGCTTCGTGGGGCTTTGGAAGAGCTACAAGCTGCCAAGTTCGCGTGGACTGTCGTGAAATCCCCAGCCCATGTGTTTGTACAGACGGTCAGGGCCCTAGGCTGGCAGGTGATTGATGCCAAGACCCTCCTCTCGGAACGGGGGGCCACCATCGATCTGTTAGCGCTAGCCCCGACGCAGGTTGCTGCTCTGGCCAGGGTCTCTGCCGCCTATGTTTCAGATGTTATCGCCCTGGGCAGCAGGTCGTCCTCCCAGGTCTGGCTAAGGCCGATTTTCTGGGGCCCCATCAGAGAGGCCATCGAAGGACCGTGCAGGTGCCTGTGGACGCCTCACCATCAGGAGGCGGTGCGTAGCCTGCTGTCGCAATGTCACTGGACCCAGGCCCGACTGCATGCCCACGGGCTGGCGGAGTCGCCACTCTGTAAGTTATGTAGACGTGCGCCAGGCACGCTGTTCCATCGTAGGTTTTGTTGCGACGCGTTCGAGGGTGATCGCCGCGCGTCCCTTGACCCTTCGGTGCGCCAGCAGGCGCGGCAGCTTGAGGAATGGTGTCAGGACCTTGAGAAGGCTGCCGCTGGCATATTCCCCGCCCCTCTTGAGCTCGTCCCACCCCCGTTGCATTGCGGTCAGGCCCACATTGTTTGGGTCAATCGGCCAGCCAGCGGGGCCCTCTCGGGGAATATTTTTTTCCGACGGCTCCGCCATGGACCCGACTGACCCCCTGCTCTCGCGGGCTGGTTGGGGCCTCGCTCAGGTGGACGACGACGGTGGTTTCGTTTCGGGGTGTTACGGGGCGGTGCCGTACGAGCAAGGCCCCTTCCAGACAGCGCGAGACGGGGAAGATTTCGCCATCATGTTGGCAGCCGCAGGGTGTGTGGACACACTCAGTGAGCATCGTTTCTTCATAGATTGTGCTGCCACGGTCGCGGCCTTTCAAGACCCGATCGGATCGGTGGAGGCAGGATCCCGCAGTGCGCACCTGTGGAGCCGCGTCCATTCAGTTTATGACGCAGGCCCGCCCTCGGTCACCAAGGTGAAGGCCCACTGCTCTTGGGGAGATGTCGATGCGGGCCGCACCACCACGTTCTGTAAGCTCGGCTCGGACCGAGCAGACGAGCTCGCCAAGAAAGGGGCCCAGCTCCACCCGGCCACGAGTGAGGCCAAGAAGCAGATTCGGGCCCTCAGCTCCTTTGTCACTCAGGTGCTGCGCTGGGCGGGAGAGCAAGAGGTCCATATGGCGGAGCGAGGCATCCGCGACTCGGACCCCCTCCCTGACAAGGCCCAGCGGCAGGCGGCCAAGGTTGAACGTCTGGCTCGAGGTGAGGACCCTTCCCAGCAGCTCTCGCTCCCGAGGCTCCGAATCGCCACCGATGCCTTCCTGTGGGCTGAAGAGACCCCTGAGCTGGGCATGTTGATGCGTCTCACCCAACACGCTCTTGCCTGTGCACGTGTCTTCGGTCCCGATGGATTGCCGATCTTGGGAGGGTCCACTGTTTTATTTTGCACCTGTTGTGGTGCGTATTCGTGGGGAGGAGCCAAGAATCTATGCCAGGACTGCTCGCCCACGATGATCACTGTGGCGCTCAGGCGCCAGCGGAACCGAGCTGCGAAGGGGCAGTTCCCGTCCTGGGCCCCCCAATATACGGGTTGGTCGATAGGGCCCCCACGCACGCCTTCACTGCCAGAACTGGCGGCGGTCGCCTGCCTTGGACTTCGAGGAGCAGGCGCGACCCTCCTCCAGCCTGCTGGGCCAGGTAGTGACGGGGAGGCGGCGGTGGAGGGGGTTTGGGGGGAAAAGTGGACGGCCCAGCAGCTGAGCGCTAGGTTCGGTTTCACCCCATCTGAATTAAATGCGTGTGCGGACCGTCTCCAGGCCGACCTGGAGGCGGCGAAGGGCCGAAAGAGGCCTCAGGGGGCTCCAGGAGGCCCCTTTCAGGATCCCTCGGATTTCTGGGCCGAACCCGTGCCCGTTCCTTGGTGATCGCGCCCAGGGTGGCGATTCGGTTTTCGGGCCCTCGCCCCTGTAGCCCGCGGGTCGCCGCGGTCCTCTATCGCTCGCTCGCCAGTGGTCACTGATCTTGGTCGGCATGGGAAATGAGAAATGAGAAATGAGAGGAGGATGCTGATGCAGAAGCACGCGATGATTGAATGGGGATATAACGAACTTGAAGATGGTGCGTGCGAAGAGGAAAGGAGGAATATGATCGTGAGATCAAGGTGAGCAGGTGCTGGTTTGATGGGGTGGCGGTCGTTGGAGTCGTTTCCAATCGAAAAAATATCGGGGAAAGGAAGGGCCGCGTCAATTTCAGCGGGTGGGAAAGGGTGAAGAGGGCTCGCCTCAAAGGATGCGACCTCTTCGCGGGCGACAAGGGCGTCGCGATGGCACAGAGGGCGACGGGCACGAAGTGCGATGTCTTCGAAAGGAGGGGCAACGCCTTGGACGACGTCCTCTTGCCCTCTGGGCAATGGGGGCCCGGGCGCGGGGCGGGTTGCGGCGCGCGCATGTGTTCTGGGAGAAGCAGCGGAGAGGCAATGAATCAATGAATGAGGCACGGTTGCAGTGAGTGCTGCAACGAGGAGGTAGCATTGAGGAAGGAAGATGAAGCAGCGGCTCAATTGAGGAGGGCCAGGCGGAGGACGGGGGAAGTGGATGAGGATAAGGGGGAGGGGCAGGCGACCCAAATAATATGTACCATGCGGATGTCAAGGGGGACCAATCAGGATGAGTAGTGCCTATATGAAGATCATTCTTAAGGCGGTGGTGATGATATGCGTGCGCGTGTGATGTGTAGCACTCGCGTAGCCAAGTGTGCGCAGGCTCGTGAATGTCGGCCTGCGGTTCGTCAGCGGCTACCTCGTGGTGTTGGGGCCCCCGTGCAAGTATTGGATCTGGCTGACTACAAGTGCCACTGGACGGTGGGAGTTGGGATGGTTGTCGGACCCTTGCAGATCGCGTCTCAATGTATGTTTGTGCGTCGGAACATTTCGAGCGTGATTGGTTTGTGCGTCGCGCGCTCTCTCTCTCTCTCTCTCTCTCTCTCTCTCTCTCGGTTGGTTGGATCTCTCTTCTCCCCCCCCCCCTGCGCCCCTACGCTCCTCTCGTCCTCTCCCCTCCGTCGCGTCCCCTCCGTCTCGCCCCTCTCTTCTCCCCCCCTCTCTCTCTCTCTCTCTCTCTCTCTCTCTCTCTCTCTCTCTCTCTCTCTCTCTCTCTCTCTCTCTCTCTCTCTCTCTCTCTCTCTCTCTCTCGGCTTGCGCTTGCCACCGTGCGCCACATGTTGCCTTTCGAATTTGTTCGCGCTTTTCTTCCTGCGTTCCGCGCGCGCGGGGCAGGGGGGGGGGGGGGGTCAGTCGACAAGCCCGAAGGGAACGGCTGCGCCTACGTGAGGGATGGCAATCGCATCGTAGACGTCGTGTGCATGCTGCTTGACTTCCTGGCGGCTCGGCCCCTTGCCTTCCTTCGCTTCCCCATGGCCCAAGACCTGCCTCTACCCTCATCCTTCTTCCATTCCGCTTTGCTTTTCTCCTCCTCCTCTTATCCATCCGCTTTCTCTTCCCCCCCTCCTCCTCCTCCTCCTCCTCCTCCTCCTTCTCTTTCTTCCCGTCTCCCTCCTCCTCCTCCTTCTCCCCCCTCCCCCGCCTCCTCCTCTTCCTCCTCTCTCCCCCCGCCCCTCGTCATCCTCTTCCCACCCACCCCTCTTCCTCGTCTTCATCCTTCTTCCTCTTGTTGCAACTGGGGCGGAGGATGCTGCGTGAGCACGTGAATTTGGAAAGGGCTCGGCTGAGCTTTTGGTGAGCGGGCTCGCCCCCCTGGGTTTGGCCATGGCGCCTTGAGAAAGCAGGGGCGCAGTTGAACAAGTTAGCCCTTTCATTGCTATGTTGGCCCACGTATCGACTGCGCTCCTTCTCGCATCTTCTTTCTCCTCAATTATCGTCCCTTTCGCGTCCGATTCATCCTCCTTCTCCATTGCTTTGCGTAGCTCGCGCCAGCGTCGGTGCCATCGCGCCGCAGTCGTCGATGTCGAGGGGCAACGTTGGGGCAGGGGGGCCAAATTGCATGTAGATGAGACCCGTAATATAGGGCTGGTTTCAACATCGCGCCACAGGGGGCGCGGGGGGACATAGGCCAACGGGGCCCCAACACGTCCGACGAGGTGAGCTTTGAGCGACGCAGCGACGTCCACGTCCTCAGCTGCAGTCGTTTTCGTAGAGCGAGCTGATCCCCCCCCCTCTTCCCTCGGCCTTCCCTCTCTCAGGCGCTGAGCGTCAAAGGGGCGATCATCATCGAGCAGCCTTCCGCCAGCTTCATGTTCCGCTACAAGCCGCCCTTGCAGAGGTTGGCATCGCACCTCGGGCGGGGTGGGGCCAGGAAAAGAAGGGGTCAGGAGGGGCGGCGGGTGCATTGCATTGACTTCGCGAGAAAAGAGAAGTGGCGTCGGATAGCGGAATGATGGGAGGGGCCGAGTGGAGGAGAAGCGACGACGTGGGCCCTCGATCGCCTTAGGTATGAGTTCAAGAAGGTACCCTTCGCTATGTGTGGCTTCGGGCACGACGCTATCAAGCCGACGCGCTTGATGATGAAATGCTTCGAGTCCGATTGGTCCGGCAAGTTCGACGCCGACGCTAGAGGCCTGGCGAAGATTGTGCGCAGGGCCACTTGCGTCTTCTGGTCTGCTCCTTGTAGCTTGTGTGTGTGTGTGTGTGCGTGTGTGTGTGTGTGTGTGTGTGTGTGTGTGTGTGTGTGTGTGTGTGTGTGTGTGTGTGTGTGTGTTGTGTGTGTGTTGCGTGCGTGTGTGTGTGTGTGTGTGTGTGCGTGTGTGTGGGCGTGTGCGTGTCGTGGCGTGTGTGGGTGTGGGTGTGTGTGTGTGTGTGTGTGTGTGTGTTTTGTGTGTGTGTGTGTGTGTGTGGTGTGTGTGTGGTGGTGGTGGTGTGGTGTGTGGTGGTGGTGGTGGTTGTGGTGGTGGTGTGGTGTGGTGGTGGGTGGTGGTGGTGGTGGTGTGTGGTGGGGGGGCAGGGGCGGGGGGGGGTCGTTTTCCTGCTTTCGCCAAGCGCCAGGCGAGGCAGGTGGGGCTGCAGAGCGCAGACGCCGCCTCTCAAGGCGCGGGGTCGGCGATCGTGGAATATCAGCATGCGCGAGCTTGGGGTGAGGGGAGAGCGGCGCCCACCCTAAGCGCGGGCTCGGGCAGGTCGGCTGGCGACCTGGATGGCTACTCCGCGACGCGCCCCTGGGGGCCATGCGCTCTGCAGGGGCGTCGGGGGAAGGTGCGAGGCAAAGCCTGCGCGCGCTGTGGGTAGAGGCTGCAGACTGGCAGACGGAGGAGTCTGGAGTGGGGGGATGAGTGAAGGATGATATGAAGGAGTTGGGCGGAGGAGGGTAAAGGATCCAAGGTGGGGATCTCTGTTCATACCCTTGCTAGCTGTCTGCCCTCTCCTGCAATTGCCATGCCCGGCTCCAAAGAATAATAGGCCGACCTTCCCTGCGTGCCGTCGCTCGCTGCGACTCTGTTCCTTCCCCCTTCTCCCTTCCGACTCATTGCTGTCACTTCCTTCCTCGTCTTGGATGTTGTGAGCGGCTAGCCACTCATCAGCGGAGCTTATCTTCCGCAACGCGCTTCGCACTGTGACGTCAGTGGTGCTTCGTGCATGGCATTGTTGTTGTCGTGCGCGCGATTGCCTCTCGCCTTGGTCCAGGATGATGCTGGACATGATATTTTGAAACCGGCTCGGTAGATCTGATTCTGCTGAATAGCCTAGTCTTGCGCGGGTAGGTGCAGCCACGCCCCTCCTCCACTCCATCAGCGTTGTTTGCCGAGCGAGCGAGCGCTTCGAATGATGAGCGCGCATGCCGTGTCTTCTCTATGGCGCGCGCTCGGGCGCACGTCGGCACGTCGATGTCGGTGAGCGCGGAGCGGCAACTGCATGTGATCACGATGCGTTGTTTGTCGATCAAGTATACTCGCTCCGTCAGTTATCCTTCCATGTCTTCGTAGTGGTGGGGCCCGGCGCGGGCCGAGTGACCCAGGCCGAGCATCGGCAATGCTTAGCGCGCGATTCATTGTTAGGGGCGCAGAGCGAGAAAGCCGCCGGGCAAGTCGGCCTCGCTTTGCTTTTTCCATTGGGGGCCAGCAAGGCCGCAAGGCCGCCGAGGCCAGTTTCCCCCCGTCGTGCGGGGAGCGCTGCTGCAGGGGAGAGCAGGGGCGAATTTCCCGCCGCGCTCAGACGACAACGGCCTCGAGATGCGAGCGAGAGACTGCGACGGAGAGAAAGGGAGAGAGAGAGAGAGATATATAGAGAGAGAGAGAGAGAGAAATACAGAAAGAGAGAGAGAGAGAGACAGAGAGAGAGAGATAATCAAACAACACCATCAGCGCACCGTAATGTTAGTAGCAATGGAGGTAACCCAACAGAGGATGTGAACAGAGGGGTGGCCTAGGAATCGGGATCGAGACGGCAACTTGGGTGCGTTGCAATGTACAGTATGGTGTAATGACAGCATGGCGCACTGTGAATGATTAGGAGGCGGAGTAATGTGAGGGGGGGGGGGGGGCGGGGGGATGCGGAGGGGGATGAGAGGAATGAGGAGAGGGGGGAGAACGAGGAAGGAGAAGAGTGATAATAAGAGCGAGGATACATGAACATGTGCAGGAAGATGTGGTAGAGGAGAATACTAAGGACAAGAAGAAGGACGCGGGGGAAGAGAAGAGGGAGGAGCGGATGAGGTGTTGCTCACCTGTGCGGTCAGCCTTTCTGCAACTGCACTTGCCCTTCCCCCCGGTGCGTGCCTGCGTTGCTGCGTCGCGCGAGGTGAGCTCCAACGCCCTCGCCATCTTCGGCGAGCTCGGCGAGAACTCGCGCAGTTCTTCCAGGGCCCCTGCCGCCTCCGCGGGCTCCCTGCGCGTGTGTGTGTGTGTGTGTGTGTGTGTGTGTGTGTGTGGGGGGGCGTCGGCAAAATGGAAAATGCTGTGATCAACGTCTGGCTGCGCCAATCCAAGGCCCGCCGTCGCATGAGCTCGTTTTTGCAGCCTGATGGCCATGCTTGGTAACCCTGCGTGGGATTCAGCGCGATGTTGCCTGCGACTCCGAACGGCTCGAGTCCGGCAAAATGCTTGATGGGGATGGGGTGGGCGCGGTGGGCGTTCGAAGGATTAAAGGAAACAAGTGTTTCCACGTGCGACCAATCTTCCAGAAGACCCCGCCGCCTTGGAATCGAGCGCCCCGGGCTTCAATGCCCTGATGTCCCCGCCCGCTGGCCGACAGAAGGCCTCATGGCCCCATCGCCCTCACGATCGCGCAATGCGAATGCTGCATTTGTCGGCCCTGTCTTTCGCGGGGGTAGCGGGCGAAACTGCGCTATGAAACCATCTTCTCAATTGTTGGGCCACGAATCGCCGAGCCACGCGTGCATGGCTATGTGCCGTGACGCTCGTGCGATGTACGTGCGATGTTCGGCGCCCCTTCAGGGCGTTCTTGCATCGGAAATCGCGCGATCACAGCTAGGTCGCAGCATCGATTGAGCACTCTGCCATGTATGCCTACGCGCATGCGCGCCCGCGCTGCAAATGAGCGGGCATGTGTCAGGGCCGTGCACAACAGCAGCGCCCGCCCCGATGCCCCAATGCCCGCGGGCAGGGGCACTTGATTGGCAATGGGAATTCGCGAGGCGCTCTTGCTCTGTGGCCGCCGAGAAACCACGATGCCAGGCCAAAGGTGGCCGCCGTCCCGTTTCCAAGCACGGGGCCTTTTCGGCGCGAAGGATGGCGGCGCAGGCCGCGCTCAAAAAGAGACAGTTGCGCGCGGGGGATTGAGAAGTATAGAATGGAAGTCGCAGATATAATCAGAGAGCGAGGAATATGCATGCCCCCGCGCCCCTGCCCCCGAGGGGCCATGCCGCCGCGGAAGGGCGCTTTCGTGGAGGACATCGCGCAGGTTGCCCGCGACCGAAACATGGGCAGGGACCTGGCAGCGGGTTCGGTGCGCTACATAGACGCAGCAGCCATGGTCTTGTTCGGCCATGGCATGGACAGCGACGCCGCCCCCCACATGTCCATCGGGGAGACTTCCAATATGATCAAGAAGTTTGTTGCTGAATTGCCTGCCGCAGATGGTGCGCCCTACTTCAATGGCGACGGCAAGTTTGCATTGGCGTTGCTCCCCCGCGTGTTCGGGGAGTTCTGCAACCTTGATGTCAATTCTGGCGTTATCGCCGCCATGTGCGCTGCCGTGCCGCCGCCGCGGAAGTACGCGCGGCGACTTGGGGCGCAGTCGCCTGGTGGCCGTCAGCAGCGGGGCGCGGGGGGGCTGTTTGGCCCGATGCCAGCTGATGTTGCGGCCGCCCGCGGGGCGAGCGGCGCGCTGCCCGCAGCTGGAGGACGTGGCGCGCTGGGGGACAGGCACGGTGGCGATGATGACTCCGCAGGTGGCGCTGAGTTGGGGCCCGCCCGGGCCATTGGACAGCAACGCGGGGTTGCCCTCGCCGCGGTGCCGCATGATGGCGCCGCGGCGCCAAGCCAATCGCCTTTGGCACTGGCACCGCGCGACTACAGCAGCCTGGATAGGCCAGATATGGTCGTTGCCTTGCACGCAGAGGACGTGATCATCGAACAGTCGGCCGCCCAGCTACGCCAGTCCGCTATTGACCTGAGAAACATGCAAAGATCGAGTGACACTTGGAAGGGCAAGGCGCTGGCCTTGAGGGCGGAGAAAGAGATACTTCAGATGGAGCAGAGCGCCCTCGTCGCTGCGGTCCGCTACCGATCGGGCGCGCGGGCTCACGTCTCCATTCAAGGCGTCTACGCGCTAGCCCTCCGCAGGGACATGGGGCACGCTGGTGGGAGGCTGACGGCCGCCATGGTTGCAGGCGACGGCCTCCACGGCGAGGTCCGCGATCCTCGCGCGGTCTGGCGCTGCGAGCACCGAGCCGCAGCAATCGTGAGGATGTTGGCGGAGGAGGTTGCCCGCGGGGGCGCATTGCCCGCCGCTGAAATCTTCGCGATTCGCTGCGACGCCACGAATCAGGAAACGATTGAGAAGGCGAAGGTGCACATGCCCCTGCTCGACGTCGCGCGCGCAGACTCGCCCCCAGCGCCCCCCGAGGAAGGCAGGGGCTTCAGCTCGCGCGTGGCCAGGAAGAGCGTACCAGGCGACATTCAGAAAGTGTACCTTGGAACGGCGCAGGAGACCTACAGCATGGCGGTCGCCGAAATGACGTCGGTGGGCTTCCCCGCGTGGGAAGAGAGGGCGCGCGCGAGGCAGGGCGCGGACGCCACGCCTGGACTATTGACATACATTTTCGGCGTGGACGCGGGGCCAGACAACGTGGGAATGGCCCCGCTCCTCAGGGCTAGTCTGTCGGCGGCGCCCACTGTGAGCTTCCTGATAACCTTCTGTTTTGCACACCAGTTCCACCTGATCGTGCAAAATGCCACGTGCTTTTTTGAAGAGTTCGTTTGGGAAGACCCAGGGTTGCAGATCGTGCCGGCGCCTGCCAGTGGGGCCGACGCGCCAGTTCAAGCTGGCGGCGCAGTGCCGAGCGGCCCGAAGTACTGGTCCAGATGCGCGACAGTCGCCAACGTCTGGCGTTCACCAGGCGTAGCACAGAAGCTGCGGAACGCTGCCGATGGATTGTTCGACGCAGCGGCGTCGGCCGCGCACTTCAGCAACATGCCGGGCCGCCCTCTCCGCGGGAGGTGGGGGCGCATTGATTCAATTGAATAAGTGTTGGTTCGCGGCCGCGCAGTCTTGGGGCCAGTCTTCAGCGCCGTCTTCCAGAACGTTGTTGAGAGGAAGCGCAAGGCGCCGCGCGTCGGCACAGAGGAGGATGAGCGGTTCAAGACTGACCAGAAAAACTACCGCTACACCGCTGTGACGAGCGTTAATGACCAGGCGTTCTTGGCCACTGTAGTTATTGCCAACGTAGCCAAGCGCCCGCTCATGGGTTTCTATCATTGGCTCCAGAAGCGGGTGAAGGACCCGATGGCAATCCAACCGCAGTCTTCTATCATCGCCCCCTGGTCATGCCTTGCTTCCCCCACCGCCACCCCCAGATCTCCGCCGCTCCCTGCTGCGGTCACGCGAGCGCCGTCTGATGGGGCAACATCGCCCGACAATCGTCCCCAACGGTCGCGATGGCGGCTTGCAGTAGGGGGGCGGGTCTGCGCGTGTGGTGGGGGGGGGGGGGCGCGACCTGTCAGGAACACAACAAGACCGTGGCGGCCAACGCGTCCAATGGCATTACGTATGTCGGCCCGACGCCAATGAGTCTGATGGTTGCTGGCCGCGCCGAAGGAGTTATGAACGAGATTGGTGAGCTGCTTGCCCCGACTGCGCCAGACGACGAAGGAGTCTGGGGGCCTCTGTGGCCCATGCTTGGGGGCAGGTCCGTCAGAGTGGAAAAGGCAGCGGAGGCCATCGTAGCGTCGGTCTTGATTGTGGGATGCGGATGGGCGTTCCGATTTATTCGGCGACTGGCAGACTTCCCATATCTGTGGCTCATGTTTGCCGAAGAGCCAGCCGATCAAGATTGCCCGATGCGCCGCAGGCTTGCGACCGAGCTGGTGGACAGACTTGACCATCGGGCGTGTTGCTTGCAGTGGCACTTCGGGGACATGAGTGCCAAGTGGGCGGCGCACTTCCGACCGCAGTTGGAAACGGCCAAGGCGACGGGCACGTGCCCAGCAGACTTGTACGCCGCGACGTTGATGCTGAGACGCGCGTGGCCCATCGACACACAAGAGATAGAGGGCATGAATTCCATATTGCAGACGATGGTCGCCCGAGCCCCGTTTCTGCACACTCCGCTCGCAAGTGACAGGATGCAGCTCAAGAAAGGCGATGGAGTGACGGCGACTGAGTGCATCACCAACCACAAGCGGGGACTGCAGTCAATGGTGGCCGAGCAGGCGCTCTGCCGTTTCAGCGGGCCTGTGGTCGACGTGAGCCCACCTCCAGCTCGCCCCGTCCAGTGCGCTCACAAGCGCTGCCCGTCTATGATAATGCCGATACGGTACGCTTTGGCCTTGTACAGGCGGCAAGAACAAGGCGTGCAGTACGTCTGGGACGGCCCTGAAGGTTTGCCGCCGTTCGTGGCCCCGTGGGCGATCGGCGCGGAGCTTTGGGCGTGCAAGGGTGAGTTTGTGGATTTGGACGGCCGCGTCATCTTCAAGCTGACAGCGCCAATTCACCCAATGCCTTTGTTCGAAGCGTTCCACGAGCACGCAGGGGGTGCCTACGCAGGAGGCGACCGCAAGAAGCGGGACACCGCAGTTCTCCGATTGCGGCGCCAGCGGCTGCTTTGGGGCAGGGCGCTGCACGCGCGTGTCTTGGGCGAGTCCGCGACCGCCATTGGCCTTGACCCTGCGCCGCCGCCGAGGCCGAAGAGACCCAGGCCAGATGCGTCGGGCGGGGGTGGCAGCGCTGGCAGCGACGGCGGCGCTGGCGGCGGCGCCCCCGCGGCGCCAGCGCCCATGGGCGATGCCAGCCCCGATGGCGACGACAACCTCAGCGATGGCGACGACGGGGACTTGGAACGCCATCTAGAGCGGCTGATGGAGGAGGCCGAGGCGGCGGAGATGGAAAAGGCATCCGCGGACGAGGAAGAGTTGGCCATGCGCTTGTCGGCCGCTGACGCAGAGCTTGCTGAAGCGCGGCTCCTGGACCCAGACGGACAGGACGACGTTGAAGAAGACGATGGCCTCTTTGAGGGCGGCGCCGCAGCTGCGCCTGAAGACGGCGCTGACGCTTTGCTTCCAGAAGACAGGGATGCTGATGGCTTGTTGCGCCCGCCCGCCGCTATGATGCGGGGCGAGCTGATTGGCGGCGGCATAGAGGGGGCAGTTCCATTTGCTGATAGGAGCCGAATGGCCAGGGAGCGGCGAGGCGCCATCACGGAGGCGCTAAGAGTGGCCGCCGCCCAGTCGATTGCAACGCACCCCACGACCCATGGAGAGATCTCGCTCGTGAAGACCACGGACAACGCTTTCTTTATCAGGTGGGTCGCTGTGGTGGGCCAGGGTCACGAGATTGCGTTTGACCACCTCAACGGGGTCAAAACACTTGTCTTCTTCCAGGCGGAAAAGACCAGCATGGCCGACACCCCGATGGAGATCATCATTCGGCACACTGGCGCCCGCATGATCAAAACCACTGGGGGCAAAGCGGAACGCCCCCTGATGCCTGAGTGGTGCTTGCGTTTGAAGGACCACGCCGAAGTAACCATGTTCTGCGGCCCCCGTCCTGCAGAGCTTAGCTTCGGAGGATGCGTCGTGTGCAAGGGCGCGCTGAAGGACGCGTACAACAAGCCCCCCTGGAACGGCCACTTCGTTTGCAAAGCTTGCCACAGCGCATGCCACTACGCATGCGCAGCGGTAGACCTGGACGGAGCAGACTTTGGCGCGGTCGTTTGCATCGCGTGCTCCCGCAGGTAGAGGCGCCCGACGCTGCAGAATTAGCAGTGGCCTTAGCATCGCGGTTCTGATCGGCGGGTGCCATCGGCGTAGTACATGCGATCGCCGCGAGATCGGAGCTGACCCTCGCTGCTCATCGTAGATCGGGGGGGGCGATCGGATCAACAAGTCTACGGTTGCAAGCAAAGGCCACCCATTGTTATACAATGGCGTGGTTCGCGGGCAACCCGTGCGTGATGCGGGGCAACGTGTTCATCGCTGCTGCAGGCCAACGTGCATGCGGCCGCGCGCAGGACGCTGTATTCTTGAGGAATGGCGGCGGCGTTAATGCAGGACCCGCATCAATTGATAACGCGCGCGGCACGGGCATCGTGAGTGCACGCGCAGCGCGTCGAGTCGGGTCAGCCGAACGACGCAGACGTCCCCCGCGCGTGCAGTGCACGCACATTGCGCACATCACGCCTGCTGAGCACGCGCAAGGTTGTTGCCGCGAGAGCGCGCCCGCGCAACGCGCATAGCCTATCTGCATGCCGAGGGTTTTCCTGCATCGTGCGCTCGCAACACGTGCATGCCTCGGTGCGCGCATGTGTGTGCCGCGCGCGTGCAGTTGAGCACTGCGTTGCGCGTCGTACACGCGAGAAAACCATTTGCGCCCTGCGCGCACGGGGTAGCGCTGGGCTTGCAAAGAGCAGGGGGTCCAGGGCGAAATGCGATCGCGTGGGGCGAGCGGCGCGTGTGTTGGTTGCAACGCGTGCGTTGGCCCGACCGTTGTTTCACGTGGCGGGCGGCGGCCACTTGTTGGCATGCGCATCACTCAAGGGGTCGTGTTCGGCGGGGCAAACGCACTCCACCGTTCTGGTGTTGGGTGGCGCACGTCATGCGAGCGCGTTGGTTCGGTTGTGCGCGCGCGCCATGCCGCCACCTGGGCGCGCGGTCAGGTGGCCAGCGCGAGGTGAGGCCATCGTCGTTTGCGTCGCGTGGGGCGGCGTTGCGCAAAGCGAGTGCGCATGCCTGGGCGGGCTACCAACGCGACCGCGTGGCTGGCCAAATGTTGCGCGCGCGGTCCATGCGGGTTGGCATGCGTTGTAATGACGCATGCCGTCGCCTCCAAGCGCGTGGCGCCGCGCGGCCTTAGGCGACCAACGTTTGCACGCGGGGTGGGCGCGACGCCCCCACGGTCACGCGTTGATGGCGACGCCCGACAACATCGGTGCGTCGGGTGCCACACCCGACGCATGATCATGCCGTGGGCCCCGCGGTTTGCATTCGATGGTGCGGTGGGGGCGTTGGATGACGGCTGGGTGCGTTGGGGCGCGTTGATAAACGTTCGCCGTGTGTCGGCGGGTTGCGGTGGTTCATGCGTCTGGGGCATCGTGTTACACATGCGGCCGCGCGCCCCGGGAGAGAGCCGACGCGCGAGGGTGTGTCGGGCGCTGCGGTCAGCACATTGGCGCGCCGTGGGCTCGCATGGTGCGTTGGGGTCGTGGTGCTTGGGCGCTGCTACGTATGCGGCACGCGGGGCGTGGCCGACGCGCGTCCATGTGTCGGCCGCGTGGCTGGGTCGCGGGCATGGCGTGCCGCGCCCGCCACGCGTTCGCGCGACGGGGCCGTTGGTCAAGCCCAAGGTGCGCGGTGCGTTGTGTGCCCAACGCGCGTCGGTGTGTTGGGCGTGGTTGGGGTACGCATGCATGGGCACGTCGCCCGACGCACGGTCGTGTGTCGGACAATTGGGCCGACGAGCGTCCATGTGTCGGGTGGGCGCGGGGCCCCCGACCGCGTGAAACGTTGCCCGACGCGCGGCCGCGTGTCGGGCAAGTGGGCCGACGCACGAACGCGTGTCGGGTGGGTGCGGGGCCCATAACCAGAGGAAACGTTGCCCGGCACGCGGCCGCGTGTCGGGCAGATGGGCCGACCCACGGACGTGTTTCGGCTCACCCGGCACGCGTCCGTGCGTCGGGCAGGCTGCCCGACGCATGGCCGTGTGTCGGGCAGGCTGCCCGGCGCGCGGACGCGTGCCGGGCAGGCTGCCCGACGCGCGGACGTGCATCGGGCGGCTTGCGCCGACGCATGGACGCGTGCCTGGCCACATGGTGTCGTTGATTTCGGCGGCGAATGTTTCAAAAACAAAGAAAAACACACGCGCGGAAACAAAGACAACCATTCGCGCATAAAACAAAAATATCGGTTTCGATCTCAACTTTGAGTGCGTTTCGCGCTTTGCAGCCGATCGCAAACGCAATGCGACCATCGTGCGTGATATCGCGTGTGGGCGTTCAGCGGCTATGCGAAACCTTTGTGGAAGTGCGCATGTTCACTTGGTCTGTTTGCAGGTCATCATGCTGTAGCGCGCGTCGTTTGCAGCGCGCTAGTGTGAACCGCTCGTTCGAGTGTGTGCTGCGTGCGCTTGTGCTGCGCCTTAGTCGTAGTTCATTCAGGTACGCGTGCGTGCGGTTCCAGTGCGAAAGGGCGCGGTCCTGCAATGCCATCGTTTCCTGCGATCAGTTAGGGTACGCGCTGCAATCATGTCCTCGTCGGCGTCTTCACCAGCCCACTCGTCGCCGACATGTCCACGACAGTCCTGTGAAGTCTTCAGGTTCATCGGCAATGGTTCTTTCGGGCGGGGCGTGGGGCACTCGCTCTTTGGGCTTGTGCGTAGGGGCGCTGAATTATATGCCCGCTGGACGTTCCCTTTGTGATCGGCATCGTCCACTTCTTGGGTCTAACTTTTCAGCCGCCCAGCGAGGATCAATGACCGAGCAGCCAGCGGTGGTGGCCGCGCTCGCGGAGTTCCGCGATGGAGTCACCGCGTCCGCCCTGTTCAAGACAGGGGAGGATGATGGCTACGAGCACATCAGCGAGTTGTTCAAGCCCGACTCGCTGCCCATCGAGATCTTGAGGCTATCCCATTTTCACAATGTCCCCCTTGCGCGGGCCAGATAAGGCATGCCCAGGGCCTTTTGGGTGGTAGCACACGTTCGGTTGTCAGCCTTGTGGGTGTCATGGGGGGGGGGCTGAGCTTGGCAGGGGGGCTATTGTCTGGCCAGCGCAGGAGGATCGACGCCACGCCGGGGTGCCTCGTCCATAGGGACTTCAGGCTCGCCCTCGTGAAGGCCAACGGGGGCTGGTCCACGAGGCGCCACCCTGCCAACAAGGAAGGCCGAGGCAGCATTGGGACATCAAGTCGCAACCATTGTGTCCATGTATCTCTACCTCCTTCGTCTTCCTCGATTCCTCATTGTCGTTGCCATTGGGCTGCCATTGAGATTGGGGTCAGCTTGTTTTGGCGTTCCCTTCCTGTCGCCGTCGTTCCCTTAGCTGCCCCCCTCCCACATTCTATCTGCCTGCCCAGGCGACGCGGCCTCGCTCCTCCAGCGCAAGCAGTCCGTCGAGAGCGTCGGCATCTTGGTCGACCTGCGCGGAGGCGCGTGGGTCGCGCAGGACCCAGACGAGGCGATCGGAATGCTAGAAATTGGGATGGAGAGGGGGCAGGGGAGGAGGAGGAGGATGCTGAGGAGGAGGAGTGGAGGGCAGCAGGAGGATCATAGGATGAGATGGGCTGAGGGGTGAGGGGGAGCATGATGGGGAGGCCAAGGGGGGATGATGGCAGGATGATGAGGGTGGATATAGCAGGATATGATGGGGGAGGAGGGACACGTTAGGATAGATGCCCCCACGACGGAGTGCAATGCGTGGGCGTTTGCATGCTTTGTCTCGGCACTCATTCATGCATGCGCCGTCGTGTTGCCATTTATCGTTTTTTCTCCTTTCTCTCGATTCGGTGCGTGAGCTATCTTGTGATGAGCTCACCCCCCCTCGTGTTCCACCCCTTTCATCATGCCTGTTGCCACGAAAGGCTGCGCACGACAGCTTCGAGACCCTCCACTGGGGAACGCTCCTCCAGGGCGCTGAGATGGCGTGGCGCGACGACAAGAACAAGGCGAACCGCGCCATCCAGCAGTCCATCCAGGCTGGAGTGCCCAACAGCAAGGTGCCATGAGGGGTGATGCAAATCGCATGGGCGTAGCATGGTGTATTTTTTAGGGGGGGGGATGCGTAACTTGGGGCAGGGGGAATGAGGGGGCGCCACTTGGCTTATAACTCGGCTAGATGTTAGGGGCCCTGGGGGGTGCACCGTGATGTGCGTGGGGGCAGGCCCTTCGTGGTTGGTTTCTTCGTTCGCCTGGGTCCTGCGCCCAGGTGTACTCTCGGAGCTTGGCCAAGTACGTGTACAAGTTTCTGGTTGACTTCGGCAACAGCGTGAACAATCAGGTCACGCAAGTGACTGTATTGGAGGCCAGGGGCGCGCGCGAAGCGGGCGGGCAGCCGCAGGAGGGAGGAGGGGGGCGAGGAGGGATGGGGGAAGGACTGAGGAAGGGGGGAGAAGGAAGGGCGAGCAGGAGGGGGAGGAAGGATGCGGGAGGGAAGAAGGGGGTCGCGAGGAAAACGTAGGAAAGTTCGGAAGCAGAGAAGGAACACCGTCCAAAAGCTGCATCGACAGAACCGCATTGTTCACGTGATGTTTGGGGGCAGGGGCGGTGAGTGTGATATCCTGCTGGTCCGCGATTGTTTGGGGCGTGTTTTTGCGTCTCAGATGTTACCATCCCCAACCCCATTCCATCTGTAGGTGCTAGTCCCCCCCGCGGTCGCCTCCCTGTGCTACACCTCTCTTTGGGATCGCAACATTGTCTAACTCATCTCCCTCCTTGCTGATCTTGTGATTCCCCTCGCTGCCCAGGTCTACCGTTCTTGCGCCACGATCGAGGCGGCCTGGACGAAGAAGAAGCGCGCGATGGGGTGGGCGAACGGGGCCACGACCGCTGCCTTCAGGGACGCGCGCAAGCTCGAAATCGCGAACGCGTTCTTCCCAGGACGGTTCAAGGACTACCACCACTTAGAGCAGACCTCCAGTTTCTTCTCAGAGGTGGCCTTCTCTTCTGCTGCTGCTGCTTCTCTTCCATATCCTCCATCTCATTATTCTTCCATACGTCGCTCTCTCCTGGTCCTTCCCCTCAAGATCATCCTTTTCCTCAAGCTTCTCTTCCTCCTTCCCCTTGTCCTCCTTCTTCTACCTGTCCTCCTCCTCCGCGCCCCGCGTTGTCCTTCTCTTCGCCGTCGTCTTCGCCCTGATGGCACCTTTCGGAGGGGGGCAATATGAGGTGAGCCTATGCACAGAGAGGCGCTAAGGCAGAGTGCAGCGATGGCCCACGGAAAGAGGAGGACATGATGTGGAAATCGTTTGTCTCGTTGCACTCGTCGTCGTCGTTCTCTGTCTTCATTGCCTAGGCGGGGAGAACTATCGTGGACGAGACGAACCTGCTGACAAGCAAGATGCAAGGTGCCACGGTCTGGAAGGCCTTCACTGCGAGGGCCACGGACGAGGTGGACTTGACAGACCAGGCCGCCATCCAATATGACAGGATCACTTCGGTCGCGTCCGTGATCTTCAAGACCCGCGGGCTGAAATCGTCGTCGTCGTCGTTCTCCTCCTTCTCCCCTCTCTCCTCCGTCCTTCTCCCCCCTCCCCCTCCTCATCCTCCTCCCTCCTCCTTCTCCTGCCTGCTTCGTGGCCCCCTTCCTCTGCCTACTTCTCCTCCTCTTCCCTCTCCTCCTCTCCCTCCTCTTCCCCCTCTCCTCTCGTCCTTCTTTCTTCTGCCAGCTTTCTTCTCCTCCCCCCCACCTCCTTTCCCCCCTCCCCCCTCTATTCCCCCCCCCCCCCCCTCCCCCCCCCCCCCCCCCCGCTACCGCCCCCACCCCCCTCCCCCGCCCCCCCCGATCAATGGCGCCCTATGGCGCCCGAGGAAGTTGAAGGGCGCCCGCCGCAAACACTTCATCGTAGACGCGATCAGTCTGCGGATGCCCCGCGCTGGCAAGAAAGGATGGGGTGCTTGCGCTCTCCTGCCAGAAGGGCTTCTTCTCCCCGCGGCAAGACCGACGCCGGCGCAATTGCAGCACCTCTTCGCGACGATGGACGACAGCAAGGCAATCAAGTTGGTCAAGAAGGACCGCCGCATGCGGGAGACTTGGTAGGGCGATGACGAGGGAGGGGGGGGGGGGGGGGGGGAGGGGGGGGGGGGGCAATGGCGAGGCGGAGGAGGAGGAAGGCGGTGGGGAGCAGGAAGTTGGGGGGGGGGGGTCTGAACGACGAGGAGGAGGAGGCGGAGCAGGAGGGGACAGGATGAGGATAATGAGGAGGACGAGGAGGAGGAGGGGAATGAGGAAGGCAGGAGGAGGAGGCAAGGCAAATGATCCTGCGTCGCGCCATCCTCAGGACAACAAGAAGCACGCCGACAGGGCCAGCAGGGCTAGGGGGCAGCTCGAGGAGGGCAAGGAAAAGGACAAGGCGAAGGTCCACGCGTTCATCGGGATCCGCAAGAACAAGGGTAAGGTCCTCGACGAGAAGTGTCGCCTCAAGTTGGTCCGCCAGATGGCCACCAAGCAGCTGAACAAGGAGCGGAAGCTGAAGGGCCAGGCCAAGAGGATCGATGAGACGCCTACGAAGGGTAAAGACGACGACGCGAATGGGAAGAATTTCTTAGACTTCCTCTGCGAGACGGAGACCTTCTTGATGAAGGCCCCCTGCGGGATCCCCGGGGAAGGAAGATGTAAACAAGGAAGCAGGTCAGGAGCGAGGCTGGATGGGGGGGGGGGGGGGGGGGGGGGGGAGAACGAGGGGAAGAAGGGCGAGAACTGGTGGAGGAGGGGTGAGGGGGTAACAGGGGAGTCAACAGGGGGAGGGAGGCAGGATGAGGAGGAAGGAGGAGGGGGGATGGATGGGGTAAGGCGCGACAGCAGCATGGGCCCCGCACCCCCAAGGGCTGGCGGCTCCGAGGCCCAGGGGCTCGTGCAGGGCATGCGCATGGCCGCGCCCTGGGGGATCTTCAATGGCAAGGTCGAGATCTCGATCGACGGCGAGTCCAGGATCCTTGCGGGGCGATCCCTCCTGTTTGACCTCCCCCATTCCCCGCCGCCCCCTTCCTCCCTTCTCTTCTCGTCCTCCTACTCATCCTCCTCCTCCTCATCCCCGCCTCTCTCCTTGTCCTCCTCCGTCTCCTCCTCTTCCTCCTCGCCCCTCCTCATGCCTCCCTCTTCCTCTTCCTCTCCCTCTCCTCCGCCTTCTCCTCCTCCTCCTCCGCCCCCCCCCCCTCTTCTCTCCGCGCTGGCGCTTCTCGTCTCTCCTAGTCCTCCAGGGCTTCGCCTGCCTCGCCTCGCGCGCCCTCGCGTCGGCCCCTGTCTGACGTCCTCTGTCCTCTTCTTCCTTCCCTCATCATGTCCCCCTTGCCCTCTATCTTCCCCGCGCCCCCCCCCTTCCTTCCCCTGCGTTGAACCTTCTCCTTGGTGCGCCCCTATGCTTGCAGCCTGCCTTGGATTTTCTTGCGCCCGCATCCTGGGCGCCCTTGCCTGGCCTTCAGTCCGCCCCTCCCCGCCCCTCCCCCCCCCCCCTCCGCGCGCGCGCACGCACACACACGCACACGCGCACGCACACGCACACGCACACACACACACGCACGCAAGCACGCACGCACACACACACACACACGCACACGCACGCGCACACACACACACACACGCACACACACGCGCACACGCACACGCGCACACGCGCACACGCGCACACGCGCACACGCGCACGCGCGCACGCGCGCACACACGCACGCACGCACGCACGCACGCCCGCACGCACGCACGCACACGCGCACACGTGCACACGCGCACACGCGCACACGCGCACACACACACACGCACACGCGCACGCACACACACACACACACGCACACACACGCACACACACGCACACACACGCGCACACACGCGCACACACGCGCACACGCGCACACGCGCACACGCGCACACGCACACACGCACACACGCACAAACGCACACACGCACACACGCACACACGCACACACGCACACACGCACACACGCACACACGCACACACGCACACACGCACACACGCACACACGCACACACGCACACACGCACACACGCACACACGCACACACGCACACACGCACCCACGCACACACGCACCCACGCACACACGCACACACGCACACACGCACACACGCACACACGCACACACGCACACACGCACACACGCACACACGCACACACGCACACACGCACACACGCACACACGCACACACGCACACACGCACACACGCACACACGCACACACGCACGCGCGCACGCACACGCACACGCACACGCACACACACGCGCACACACACGCACACACACACACACACACCCTTCGCCCGGCTGCCCAGACGCGTGGTGGCGGACCCGTGACAAGATGGGCTTGGGGGGCAGGGCGTAGCGCGCCGCAGGGCTGTCGCTGGGCGGGCGCAGCCTCGGATGCTACTCAAGCGCCGCATCTGCGGCGCCGCGCAGCTCGAGCCGAGGCCGTCGGGCCCCGACTTCGACGCCTTGCGCGCGCAGGTGCTCGCTGAGAAGGACATCGGCAAGGTCGCCTCCTCTCCCTCCTTCGACGCTGCGGGCATGGGCAACTTAATATTGCAACTGAGCTCGGTTCACTTGAATGGGGGGTGGCCTGGGGCACGCAAACTCCCAGCGTTCCCTTTCGGCGACGGGGGTTGGGAAGTGCCGCGCGGGAGCGTGGAGAGGGCGCACCGATGATGGGCGATGCCAGCTATTTGGGGGGCACGAGGAGGAGCGCGGGGGGAGGAAGCGGAAGGGGGATAAGGAGAAACGAGGGGGGAGAAGAACGGTGGGGGGGGGTGGAGGAGGAGAAGGAAGAGCTGGAGGATGGGGATGAGGATAGGGGAGGGATTGCTTTCCTTACAGCGCAGGCGCTGGAGGGCGCCTCGATGGGTCCCAACTTCGCCGAGGCTGATGGCGGGGCTGCCGTTCCAGCTGTAGATCTGCTCGAGCAGGTTGAGGAGGGGGGCGCGGCGCTGCTGGCCTTGTGGGACTTCGTGCGAAGCCAGGAGGCGCTGGCCGGGGGTCCAAGGGGTCGAGGAGGGTTGGGTGGGGGAGGTCATTGTTGCTACCGCGCCCTGGCAGGCTTTCACCAAAGTGCCCGTGCTGCTGGCCTGCTCTGCCGAGATGCTCAACGGGGCCATGATGGGGATCTTCGGCACGTTGGCTTCAAGCGGTGGGAGCTTTCGAACAGAGGGCGCCGCTTTTGACTGCTTGTTTGAGAAGGCAGATCGGCCAGTGTTTCCTTTTTCTCATTTGCCGTTGACGTCTTCGTCGCCCTCGCCGCTGCCGCTATCGACATGCGATTCCGCGTAGCTGTGCTGCCGTGCTTGTGCGTCCCCTCTCTAATCCGATGTGACCTCCTCCGCGCGGGGGGCCAGGATGTGCTCGCCATGCGCATGTCCTTCTTTAGCGTGGCCTCCATTGAGTTGTCTCTCTGGACATGTGCGCCCATATGAACTCCCGTGTCTAGTCGCTGTAAACCCCATGCGCCATGCTTCGCGCGTTGTTGAGGTGGCGCTCATCTGATGAAACTGCCCCCCGCCCAGCGCCAGCCTGGTCCTAAATTCCCTCGCTGTTATTCCACGGCGTTGCTTTCCTGACTTTCTTGCCAGGCGATGGGCCAGGTCATGGCCAGGATCCCTGCGGAATGGGACAGCGCCGCGCGCCTCGTTGATCTCGCGAAGAAGCGCGGCCACGTGGGCGCCCTCTCGCACAACCATGCGGCGGTTGGTTTGGCTGAGGCGAACTGCGACATGCTCAGGTTGGGGTCCTTGAGGGCAAGCCTCATTCTGTACATCGTCACGTCGCTGGGTATTCAGCAGTGTCAGGCGTGCGCGTGGTGTTGCCCCTCTTGGAAGTCTCAGTTGAGCCATTGCTTGTGCTGCTGCTGCAGCTGCTTCTCCTCCTTCTTCTCCCCCCCCATCCTCCTCCTCATGCTGCTCCTCATCGGCCTGCTCCTCTCCCCTATCATCGGCCGCGTCCTATTGCCCCCCCCTGTCCCCCCCCCCCCTCCTCCCCCTGCATTTCCTTTTCTTCATCTTCCTCCTCCTCCTCGTCGTCCTCCTTCTCCGTTTCGTCCTCCTTCCTCCTCCTCCTCGTCGTCTGCCTCCTCCTCGACTCCTCCTCTCTTTCCTCCTCCTTCTCATCGTCCTTATTATCCCCCCACCATTTCTCTCCTCCTTCTCCTCCGCGTCCTCGCCCTCTTCTTCCTGCTCGCCCTCGCTGTCCTCCCCTGGCCCCCCGCAGGTGCGGCGGGGCCCGCTGCTGGAGATGAGGGCGTGCCTGAGCCCAGTGATGCACCGCTTCCTGACGGAGCTGACGGCTCGCCTGAGCCCAGCGCCCCCCACTTGCGTCCAGGCCGAGCAGCTGGTCATCGACAGCCCGGAGAGACCGACGCAGTGGCCCGAGGCTCGCGTCAGGGAGGGCTGAAACGAGCGCGCAGGGAATATGGGAGGGGCGGGGGGGGGGCGCTGAGGGGGGAGAAGGGGGAAGGGGGCGACGGCAATGGAAGACGAGCAGAAGGACATGGAGGGGGGGGCGTAGGATGAGGAGCCCCATGCGCCCTCTCCTCCGCATTTCGGTTTGCCCACCTCTCTACCCCTTCTTCTCGTCCAAGGGCGCGATCGCAAGGGGGGGCGAGTGGAGTCTCTCGTGGCGACCTCTGCTAGGTTTTCACGCGCATGGTGTCGGCAGTGACATCGTTCTGCAACTGGCTGGTCTCTGCTGACCCCCAGGGCGTGGCCCGGCGCAATGGCGTCTTGCTCAAGACGATCTCTGCGCTGAGCGACCCCGCGAAGATTCGGGCCTTCACCCTGGAGAACAAATGCATCCAGAGCCGGGGCTTCAAGTGGCCCGAGTCCCAGGGCGAGGGCGCCCTGCCCGCGGAGAAACAGAAGACGGCGGCCGCCATCATGGCGCAGTTCGACCAGGAGCGACACAGGGGGCGTCCCTGAGAGAACTTGAGATGCATTGGCTTTTGAGGGGGGGTAGGCGGGCGTGGGAAACATACTCGAGGCGGCGCTTGGCTCCCCCCCCCCAACTGTGACCCCTTTCTCGCTTGACAAGAAGTTCGGAAATGCATTGCCACTCGTCTTCGGATCCGCCCCCCTACCCTCGCGGGAGAATGCAGGCGCGATGGGGGCGAGCTTGGCCATGAGCGACATGTGGACGGCGTTCAGCAGCAAGTGGAAGCGCTCGCCGGTGCCTCCTGAGGCCGAGAGGGCCAAGGCCAAAGGCAGGACAGACACCATGTTTCTGCTTGGCCTTGTCCATCGCCCACCCTGCCTTACCCGCTGTTTTGCTATCCTCCCCTCCGCCCTCCCATGCTTGCTGAACTTGTCCAGCGGCCTTTGTTTGTTCGCTCTCTCTCGTTCTCTCTTTCGGTATTCGCATATCTCCCTTCCCTTGCCGCCTCTCGATCATGGGCCAGGGGCTGGGGCAATGGGCCTCGGGGCAAGGGCCCTGGCAAGTGGAAGGGCAGAGGCGACGGGAAGTAGCGTGAGGCGCCCAGGCGCCCAGGAAGTCCAGACAGCCACGACAGCACGGTGGACGGGAGAGGACAGGGACGAGCGCAGTTGGAATGAGGAGGCGAACGAGGAGGACGAGTTGGAAGGAGGAGGAGAAGAAGGAAGAGGGCAAAAGGCAAGAATGATGGGGGATGGGCGAGGGGGAGAGCGAGGAAGAGGAGCAAATGAGGGGTGCAAGAACTATGCAACTTTGAATGCCGCCTCCAGCGCGACCAGTGGGCGCGCGAGCACAGCTGCTGACGTCGGCGGCGCAGCGGGCGACGGCGAGGGCAAGCAGGGCGGCGCGTCCATCAAGGCCGTGCCCGACCACCCCTTGCTGGGCCACTGGAACGGCACCGTGGCTAAGGATCGCGTCAGTCCCTCTCGCAACGCGGGCGTCGTTCCCCCCCTTCCCAGCCGCCTTGCTGCACCCCTCTCGATCAAGTTTGGTTTGGCGGGCTTCAGCGGCACCTTGACTTAGATGTCGCATGGCCGTGGCAGTTGTGCCACTTCAGTCGCACGCACCCTCCCCTTTTGCTCTCTCTCATCGCATTGCTTATGTCTGGCAGGAGCAGACGAGTGGGGCAGAGATTGCTTTGTGGCAGAAGGCGGTGATCAATGCTGTGCAGAGCAAGATCACGGAGTTCGGCACCCAGTTTTACGGCATGCACGACCCCCCCGTTTCCCTAGACGAGCAATTGGAGAAATAATTGGGGGAATTGCTGCCAGATGACGCATGCGGGTGTTCAGCCGACTCGATCGTGCCAGCGGAGCCGCGGTCGCCATTGTCAGTCGCGTCGCCACGTTCGGCTTCGCGGCAGACGACCACTGAGGAGACTGGTGAGACGAAGAAGAAGAAGAAGAAGAAGACATCCGAGGAGGAACCTTGCAACTACGGGCACAAGGGCTCGAACACCTTCCTGACCACGGAGAAAAAGAAGAGCAGGCAAGAGGACGAGCGGGATTGTTGACTCATCTTGAAAGTGAAAAGGGTGCATTGCCTGCGCGCGTACTTCCACCGCGTACATTACTCGCGCAGCCCAGACATCGTGCGACCCACATCCCTCGTACTTTTCCATGCCATCCCCGCCCCAATCCTGCGCCCCCCAGGATGCCGTCGCCGACGATGGCCCGAAGAAGGCGCGGTGGATCCTGGAGCGGCACGGCGCAGACATCGGAGAGTTGACGATCCCAATGTTCGGGAAGGTGATAGACGTCGACACGGCGAATTCCATGGGCAGAGTAGCTAGGTTTGTTGCAGCGATGTGGGGCTATTGAGAGGAGGTCAGCATGATGAGGGGGCGATGTGCAGGGGAAAACTTTCATTGGAACCGTGAGAGACAGGATTCGCGTTTTTTTGTTGAGCCGATGATAAGATTGAACATGCGGTTGTTTGAGGAAGGACAACATGCTAGTTGAGATAATGCATTCCAGGAGAAATCTAAGGAAAAGAGGAACGACCTACTATCGAGCAAATGGTTTTGCTATTCGGAAATTCTCACGGGGGGGGGGTCTTTGGCCACGTAGGTGCAACTCGATGGGGCATGATTTTTTTGTTGTGAGCTGATTCCGTCGTGCATATGCCCGCAGGATCTTGCCCGAGCTTGAACGGCCCGAAGGACGAGGGCCCAGAGGCAGGGTGCACGGTGAGCAATGAGTGGGAGCCGCCCAAGCTGTACGTCGAGGGGGGTCACTGGATGAACCCATTGAGGACGGACTTCAGCCCGGGCTGGCTGGTGGCCCCTGCCCCGGAGCCGAAGGCAGTGGCCAAGCCCGAGGGCAAGTGCGAGGCCAAGCGGCTGGCCAGGCCGAAGAAGGCCTGGCGATTCTCTCTCCCTTGCTGCTTGCCTCGCTTCTCGTCGTCGTTCCTTTCCTCCTCGTCCCCCCCCATCCTCATCTTCCTCTTCCCCCCCTCCTCCTCGCCCTCCTCTTCCTCGCCCGCCTCCTCCAGGTCCTCCTCAGTCAGTGTCATCCTGCTATTCCTTATTCCTCTCCTCCTCCTCCTCCTCCTTCCCTTCCTGCTCCCCCTCACCTTCCCCCCCTCCTCCCATATCCTCTTGGAGGGGGGTGGCAAACGGGGGCGGGTCAATTTCTGCCGCATGCAGTTGCTTTCGGCCTTGCCGAGTTTCTCGCTTCTCGACGTGTGATCCCCTGGGGTGTCTGAAGGTGCCAGGAGGGGGATGACCATCCCATTGTTCATTGCTCAAACCCCAGATCTCGCCACCTTGTTCCAAGGGAGGGGGTGGACCTCGCCTGAGGTGCACGCGTCAAGGCCGCCCCCCACGTAGGTTCCAGCCCCTGTAGAGATCACAGCGAACATCGATCTTCATTCCCCAAGCCCTGTGCTGTTTGTCTGTAGCTTGGTTTGCTCGAGGTTGGTTTGCTTATTTTCTTTACGGGGCCAAGCGCTAGGCTCGATAGTCTGAGCTCGTTCCTGCGATGGGCCCGTTCAAGGACCCCCTCTTCGACGACACGCAGGGTTCTCTACCTCCAGACTCGCTGGAGCCCGATCCTCATGCGCATGGGCTGAGGGAGGACCTCAAGGACTCTGCCTTCGACTCGTCGTCCGAGCCCGAGCCCCCTGGCGGCGCAGAAGAAGATGCTGACCCCGCTGGCTCGGCGGCTGCTCAGGAGGAGATCGCGCGCGACACCGCTGGCGACGACGAGCAGGCGGGGGCAGGGGGGGGGGCGCTGCTTGGGCCGCGCCTGGGTGGTTGTCTCGGAGTCTCGTCAGCTCCTCCTGTTTACCCATGCCCGCCCGAGGCAAGTCCAGTCCTCAAGTTCAGCTCGGCGCGCCCGACGCCCTCGTCGATGCTGTCCTGGCGCGTGGAGGGAGAGGGGGTGAACTCAGATTGGCCTTCACCGAATTCGCTTGCCTAGTCGAGTCGTCGCCCCCCCCCTAGTCGAGCGAAGTCCGCCTATCACCTCTGACTCTTTTCGGTTGTCTCTGGGTCTCAACCTCTCTCGCTCTCTCTCAGACGCTCTACGCCCTAAGCCTATCTGCGTTTATATGCCTTGCCTTCCCTCCATATCAGTTCAGTTTGCCTTTCCATTGGCAGCGTTGCCTTCCCAGCTCCTGTTTTCCCATGGCCGCTCTTTCTCGCTTACCCTGCTACGCGTGCCCGCCTGCCTCAGTAGTTTCTTCTGCTGGGGCGGTGTCAGATCACGAACGGCGACGACGTGCACCGCGACGTCGTGAAGCGGAGCGTTGATGCTGGCGGTATGCAGGCGCGGCACTTTGTCTTTGAGACATGCAGCGAACGTCACGGGCGCTTCATGCTGCAGGAATACACCATTAGCAGGCGCCTTACAATCGCAAGCATCATGCCATATTCGGCAGTGGCGTAAAGTCAAGCGCAGTAGCAGGGGCATCAGCAAGAGCAGGGATCATAGCATGGAAAGGAGGGGTGTCGTATCGTTGCCACTGCCAGGCGCCTCAGAAGAAGATGCGCCTCCCCGAGTCCGAAGATGCGCCTCCCCCAACAAGGCTGCTGGGAATTCCTAAATCCTTTCATGCTGTCGGGCTATCTGCCTTGTCCTGGTTCTCGCGGCGTTCCTTCTCATACCGAGGACAGTCGCGATCGTCGTCGTTCGTCTAGGAGTCCTCTATCGCCGACATGCTGCCCGACATGCGTGGCTGGCTCGTCTGGGCTCGTGGTTGTCGTCGTCGTTGCACCGTCGTCGGCGTAGGTCTTATCGTTGGGCATCGTCCGTTGTCTGCTGCCCAAGGCCGAGTTCCACGGCGGGTGGCTCCTCCTTCTGGTCCATGGAGTGGATGGGGCCGTTCGTCTTCGGGGTCCTCGGCGACCCGCCTAGCGAGCGGGCCATTGAGGTGGAGCCGAAGGAGCCAGGGGCGAACGGCAGATGACGAGGTAACGGCGAGGGGAAGAATATGCAACCACGAGGGGGACGTGGGGGGCCAGGGGTGATCTCAGAGACGATGGCGAGGCGAAGGAGAAGGAAGATAACGAAGAGGAATAGATCGGATGCGGATACGATGCGGGGGAAGAGGCACGAGGGCGCGGAGGGGGAGGGGGAGAAAGAAGAGGAGGATGAGTAGGAGGAGGATGAGAAGGAGGAGGAGGAGAAAGATGAGGAGGAGGAGGAGATGGGGGAGAGAAGGAAGGCGAGAACAAGGATGACGGTTGAACGCACGGGGGGCGGGGGGGCAATGATGGCGGTGCTGGAGATGTTGGTTCGGCACCCATTTTCAGGAGGACAAGACGTGGTGGGTGGAGTGGAAGATCGACGGCGTGTTCGTGCACCGCTTGACGGAGGAGCACCTGAACCGCATGAACGCAGGCGAGAGGTTCGACACTCGCATCATCGTCGGCAACACGGACACCATGCGGCGCGCAGCCGCCCAGTTTCCAGTTGTCGCGTCGAAGTTCGCACAGGGCAAGTGGGCGAAGGAGGGTGCGTGGGACGGGGGGTGGCGTGGTTAGGCGGGGGGGGTGCACCACGGTGGGGCTAAGCCGAAGGGGTTGAGAATTTCCGTTTGTGCCCCCAAAGGACTTCGGCCTTCGAGCTACTGATCTTCGCGTGCCTCGTGGGGGCTCTAGTGGATCGAGCTCGTCGGGTGGGCCTGCGCCGCGCTGGCTGACGAATGAGCCGCCTTCGAGCTCAAGCACTCCGCCGCCGACGGTGGACCAGACCAATTGATGGCAGTGCGTTGGGCGCGGTGCGCCCAGGTCGTGCGCGCGCCGTGTTGCGCAGCGGCGGCTGCGACCCTGTCCTCGGGGCCTCGGGCGATAAAACATATTTGCGTCGACGCTTCGATGGGTCGAGCCGAGGCGGGGTCGACGTCGAGAGGGAGAGGAGAGCGAGAGGAGAGAGAGAGAGAGAGAGAGAGAGAGAGAGAGAGAGAGAAAAGAGGGAGAGAGAGAGAGAGAGAGAGAGAGAGAGAGAGGAACATCACAAAAAGAGGGAATATATATAGAAGAGAGAGAGAGAGAGAGAGAGAGAGAGAGAGAGAGGAGAGAGAGGAGAGAGAGAGAGAGAGAGAGAGAGAGAGAGAGAGAGAGAGAGAGAGAGAGAGAAATAAATAGAGAGAGAGAGAGAGAGAGATAGAGAGAGGGATATATATATATATATATAGAGAGAGGAACATCAAAAAAAAGAGGGATATACATATATAGAGAGAGAGAGAGAGAGAGAGAGAGAGACGAGAGAGATGAGAGAGAGAGAGAGAGAGAGAGAGAGAGAGAGAGAGAGAGAGAGAGAGAGACGAGAGAGAGAGAGAGAGAGAGAGAGAGAGAGAGAGGAAGCGGAGGCATAAGTCCGCGAGGTGCAAGTGAAAGTAGACGGGGGGCAAGGGGGATGAGGAGGAGGATGAGGATGAGGATGAGGAGGAGGAGAAGGGGAAGGAGGAGAGGGGGAGGAGGGGGATGCGTCATATGGAGAGGGGGATAGCGGCAAGCAAATCCAAGGGAGCTGCCAGGAGAGTCGTGGGGCAGGGATTAGGGGGCCATCCATGAACAGCATGGCGATCGTCAGGGATGGCACCCTTGGGCCTCTCAAACAACCCCCCCTTGGGCCTCTCAGCCAATCCCCGAATCCCCCGCCCCCCAATCCCCCAACCAACCCCCCCACTCCCCAAGCGAAGTCCGAGGGCCACCCTGGCGCCCGTCCCGCCCCCGCCCCCCCCCCCCCCCCCCCGATATGCGCCTCCCCATCGCCGCAAGTGGGGGCCGCCCATGTCCCTGGCGCGGCGGCGGGGGCGACAGCGACGGCGGCGTTTTTGCAGGGCGAGGAGAGGGGCGGCGAAGCAGAGGAGGATGAGGAAAGCGGCAAAGGGAGGACGTTGAAGAGGAGGATAGCATAACGAGGGGGAGGAGGAGGAACCTACAGAGGAGGAGGGGGGGGAGGAGGAGGAGGGGGCGGGGGAAAGGATACGGAGAAGGAGGAGGAGGGTGAGAAGGAGGAGAACGAGGAAGAGGATCGGGCGAGGCAGGAACAGGATGAGGCGAAGAGAACCCGAGAGATGAGAGTAGCAGCGGTGCGACGGGGGGGGGCAGAGCGATCAGGCCCTGAAGCCCGCGCGCGGCTTGCGGTGCAAACCTTTCGGGGTCGAGGTGTTGAAGCGCAAGGTCGCGCGCGTGATGCCGCACCTCGCCCCCTTGGAGGCCGAGCTGGACACGGGGGGCGGTCAGGGAACATAAAGAGAAGAGTCGGTGGCGGTTGGGGCGTGTGTGTGTGTGTGTGTGTGTGTGTGTGTGTGTGTGTGTGTGTGTGTGTGTGTGTGTGTGTGTGTGTGTGTGTGTGTGTGTGTGTGTGTGTGTGTGTGTGTGTGTGTGTGTGTGTGTGTGTGTGTGTGTGTGTGTTTGTGTGCGTGTGTGTGTGTGTGTGTGTGCGTGTGTGCGTGTGTGCGTGTGTGCGTGCGTGCGGTGCGTGTGTGTGTGTGTGGGGCGAACGAGGAAGGTAGGGCGCAGGAGGTTTGGTGACGAGCCCGGGAAAGGTGTGCTAGCACATCGGGTTCAGGAAAGTAGATTACGCCTCCCCCTGGCCCAGGACGAGGACGAGAAATTCGAGGACAGCCTCTGCGAGGAGGGCGCGGAGGCGGAGAAAGGCCCGCTGTCGCTGCCGTCGTCGCCAGGAGGACAAGGGGCACATAAGGGGAATAATCCAAGGTGAGCAGGATGCGGCGAGGGGGAAATGGAAATGGAGAGCATGGGGATGAGGAGAGGCGGAGAAGAGGATGGGCCATATGGGGGGGGGGGCGGGGGCAGGAGCAGAGGCGAAGAAGAGGAGGAGTAGGCGGAAGATAACGAGGAACAAACTTATGAGCGTTTCTCTCCTCCGTGGAGGCGAGCAGGTCATCAAGAAGCGCTGCTGGAGGGCGACTGGGTACTGGGACTCGATGCCCGCCCTCAAGCGCGCGAAGATGCAGAAAAAGGACGACAATTTCGCGGTTCGCTGAGGAGGGGCCCTCAGCCTGAGGGTGGCCTCGGATAAAAACCAAGGAGGGTCGGTCGGAGTCGTCGGCTCGGCGAATGAGAGGAAAGGCGGATGGGAAGAAGGGGGGGGATGAGGGAGGGATGAGGATGAGGACAGGAACGCGATGGGCCTGGGGATGAGGATGCGGATGAGGAGGCGGATGGAGGACGGGGGTGGAGCGAGTGGACGAGGTGGGGAAGCATGAGAAGGATGGCGAGGATGATAAGGAGGAGGTGGAGGAGGGGGGGCGAGTGAAGGAGGAGAAGGAGGAGGTGGATAAGGAGGATGACGATTTAGAGGTGGATAAGGGATGGGATGGGAGGAGTCGGAGGAGGCGGAGGAAGAGGAGCAGCAGCAGTTGCAGCAGCAGCAGAAGCAAGAACATGACGGATGAGGAGGTCGCGGAGGGAGGGGGGGTGGAGGGGTGGAGTGGGTGACGGCTCCGCTGCCAGGTGGGTGAAGGGCCGTCGCCGCCGTGACGGCCCGTGGCGGCCCGCTCCGCCGCCGCGCGGGGTGGGGGAGCGGGGGGCGAGGCAGCGAAGAGAGAGGAGAAGGAGGGAGAGGCAGTGCCAGGAGTGCACAGAGGGGAGAGGGAGGGCGTGGGGATTGACATGAGAAGCTGGAGACGGAGGACATGAGGACGAGGATCAGGAGGAAGTGAGGAGGGGCAGAGAGAGGAGGATGATGATGAGGAGACGGCAGAAGATGGGGTTCAGCCCGCGCGGGGATACAGGACACGGGGATGACCATGACCGCGGTAGGGAGGATGAGAAGCACGAGTAAGGATGAGAAGGGGAACGGTGAGGAGAAAAATGACGGGAGGGCGATGAGGAAGAGCGAAGGACAATGATGAGGTTGGAAATTCGCTAGGATCAATCAGCCCCCTTTGCAGTCCTCCCGCTTCAGATGCGCAGGATCCGCCACTCCCCTCCCCCGTCTTGTCCCCCCCCCCCCCCTCCTGCATTATGTCGTTCCCTTTTCTCCTCCTCCCCCTCCTCCATCCTCCCTTTCCCCTTCGTAATATTCTCTCTCCCCCTCCCTTCTCCCCCCTCCCTCCTCGTCCGTCTCCCTTCTCCCCCCCTCCGTCGGTCCCGCGAGTCGACGGCCCCCCCGCCTCCCCGGCCCCCTCGCTCGCGGCCTGGGCCAGCGCCGCGGCGGCTGCGGCGGCCGCGCGCGCCGCGACGGAGCGCGGCGCGGCGTCGCGGCGTCTCCGAGACGCCGCGTCTCGAGAGGGAAACCGCCGCGGCGCACGAAGGAAGGAGAGATGGGGAATAAGGGGGGTCAGGGAGGAGAGGAGGGGGAGAGGGCCAAGGAGGGAAGGAGAGAAGGAGAGAGGGGGAGGGCCAGGGGGGGAGGGCGGGAGGGCCTGGGAAAAGGGGGGGCCAAGGAAGCAGCAAAGAGAGAGAAGGGAGGGGAGGAAGGAGGGCGAGAAGGGCAGAGGAAAGGAGCTGACGATATGTATATATATACACATATATGTATACATAGACATACACACATGTATGTGTGTATGTATGTATATATATGTATATTCATATATATATATACATATAGGCAGAAAAGGGAACGATGAGAGAAACGCAAGGAGGAGAAGAGCCAGAGGAGTGGCGGAGTAGACAGGACGGTCACACGGAAGGGCGCAGGGATCAATCTGTAGGTTTTAGCAGTTCAAAACTGGGCTTCTCGTGAGGACTTGCTTGTGGCCGAGTTCCTACTGCACTCATGCTCTTCTGGTGCCGCCCATGTGCCTGGCTAACCTGTCCGCGCGCAGTGCGACGCCAGAGGGGGGTCGCGTGTGTCGGCCCAACGGCTCCGTGGCACGGTGAATTGGGATGACATCTTGTGAGAAGTGCACCTCCCTACTCCTTGGTGAACTGAGGAAGAGAGGCCAACTGATCGAGGAGTGCTGCTGGGTCGACCTTCGTGGGCCCCATAGTCGTCTCCGACGAACTGCATTGAACCGCGAACTCTGCTTCTTCGACCGCCACGGAGGTGCTCTGTGGTATAACTCCATTGAGGCCCCGCACTTCGCGCATTTGCCATCGTTGCGCTGGATGCGGAAATTGAATGCCCAATTGCCGCATGAGCAGACCGTGAAGTCGCCCTTCCTCGCCATCCTTGCGCGGGAGGAATGGTTGCCGACGGGGCGGGCGCCCGCCCCTGGAACTGTGGGGCCGCTGACCCCCGGTGCCAGCTCAATGACTTGAGCCAAAATCGATACGGAGGAAGAGGGGGGGGGGAGGAGGGGGAGGAAGGGGGGGAGAAGGGGTGGCTGTGCAGTGGGTCGCGCCTCGCCTGCGCGCCGCCCCGTTGGCCACCTCCGCAGGCATTGCTTGCGTGGCGCGCGGCTTACTCGAGTTGGCGTGCGGATGCGGCGTTCCCGCTTGCCGCGGGGAGGCGAACGAACGCGCGAATTCGCGCGCGCGCAGACACGCGCGTGCACTCACGTACGCACGCGCACTCAACGCACCGCACGCACGCACAACGCAACGCGACACAACACAGCGCATCACAACACAGCACAGCACCAAACCACGCAACACAGCGCCGCACTACACGACACCACGCAACACAACACACCACAACACAACACAACACCCCACGCCACAGCATAACACACCACACTACGCCACATCACAGCACAACGCATACATTTGCGTATATCGATACGTACATGCATGCAATCACAGACACACGGGTCCAACTACAAGTGTATGCACATCTACATAAACACACACCGACACATGCATTCATATTTACATTGTCATGCGCAGGTTCATGTCCATATCTGCACTACATATAAACGCGTAAACGTATACATATGCATATACGCAGACAGACACATATACATATGCATATGCGTATATGTCTACGGATCAACTTACTATACATACACGTATACGTACACATATACACATGCACTTACTTAGCTATACGTATACGATGCACATACATATACGTATATATATACACATGTATTTTCACATATCCATATACATAATCATATGCACATACAGGTACGTAGCCATATACAAGTTCACTTACATTACCATCTACATGTACACATGCAGTTGCATCTGAAAAAGGGCATCTACATTTCCATATATGTAAATGCGGAAGTGCACGTATATGTATGCACACATACATATACACAAACCATGCATTCATTGCATGCCCATGAGAATTTGCATGCATATGTGCACATATCCAGATGCGTGCACATGTCCACATACAAATTTGCACACATTTACATCCACATGCGCTCATGCATGTACATATCCATATTCATATGCATACGCATCCACATTTGCATACACGTTTAGATATGCACTTACGCATACGCATACACATACGAACACGCCTACACCTGCATCTACATCTACATACACATCTACAAATACGTGTACACCATACATGGTCAAATTTATGTACATGTGCATATGCATATGCGTACACATAAACGTCCACATAATGATGTACCTATGCGTGTACATGTGTCGACAAATCTATTGTGTATATATGCATCTACATATACACATTGCAATACGTATGCATGTGCACATACACATTCACACACGTACACATGCATGTATATTCGTATGTGCAATGATCAAGTCGCTGGTCTGATCCTGGTTTGTGGTTCGTCGTTTGGCACACTATCGTGAACAACTATGGAGCTGCTTCCCAATCTGAGAGGAGGGGGTCCGATTCGCCAAATGTGCGCGCCATGCTACGTCATGTATGACCCAAGCGCGCCTCCTCGTAGCCAGCTGCCGCCGTGGGGTGAGGAGTAGACGCTTCACCTTCCATTCCTTGTAGATTGGCACTGTCATCTCCGTCCGCTGTCAGCTCGGCGAAGGCAACTGCTTGCGGCGCCCTGTGGGCAATAGTCAGAGGATCCACCGCGCAACGGCATCTAAGTCCAACGTCATGTAGGTGGGATGCTCTGGGCGGTACCTTGTAGAAGGGTCCTTACGCCCTCCCGTCAGTAGACCCACCAACCACGGGGCCACATAGGCGGGACCGTATAAGCTTGGCCCTACGCGAAAGAATCTTAATCCTTTGGCCACGCGCCAGTCGAGCGCCACCACTGCGGGACCTTCTAGGCGAGACCCAATGAATGGGAGCTTATGGGGGGACCTTGTGGGCGGGGTCCCATGACCGCTCACCACAGGACCCCCCGCCGCCATGGACCTCGATTCCGTACCACGGGACTTTGTTGGCCAGGGCCTAGGCCGCAGCATCGATTGGCATTTCTGTTAGAATGTGCCTCGAGCTATTCGCAGGGTTGACTGGCATTCTGTAATTCTGTCAGCGGTCTGGCTGCGGCCGCATGGTTGAGAGTTGATCCGCATGTGTAGCCACCGGAACTGTGAGCGCAGTTTCTGTGATCTGTTGGGCTTATGCCTCTGGCTCGTCCCTGTGCCTGTCCGAAGACCGCGCAAAAGGAGTCAGGTCGTGACGCCGTGACAATGTGGATGCAGCGCATCCGCCTTCCACCTCCTGCTCCCTCCTGCTCGGCATCCTCCACCTCCTCTCCATCTCCTGCTCCCTCCAGGCACCGTTGTCTCCATGTGCGAGGAGAAGGCGACGGACCGTGGCAGGATCGCCCGAGCGTCTGGCACGTCTTGTATGGTGGTGGGGCACTCGGACGACAACCGCAAGACGCGCATTCGCCTCCCCAGCGGCACGCGGAAGACCATCCCGTCCACTTGCCGCGCCATCGTGGGCATAGTGGCCGGCGGAGGCCGCATGGACAAGCCAGTGCTGAAGGCCGGCGTCCTCGTCGTCGGCGTCCTCCTCATGTTTCTCCTCGGCCTCCTCCTCCTTCCCCTCCTTCCCCTACGCCTGGATAAGGATCGGAAGGATGATGATGCTGATGCTCATGCTCATGCTGATGCTCATGCTCATGCTCATGCTGATGGTGGTGATGATGATGATGATGATGATGAGGAGGAGGAGTAGGAAAAGGAGGAGGAGGAGGACACGGATGATGATGGTGTTGGTGATGGTGATGGTGATGATGATGTTGTTGATGATTATGATGATGATGACGATGATGATGATGATGATGGTGGTGGTGGTGGTGGTGGTGGTGGTGGTGATGATGGTGGTGGTGATGATGATGGTGGTGGTGGTGATGATGCTGATGCTGATGCTGATGCTGATGCTGATGCTGATGCTGATGATGCTGATGATGATGATTTATGATGATGAGGAGGATGCTGTTTTTAGTAACGGCATGAGATCACAGAGTTTTAATGATACTAAACGGAGTGTCTTGTGCAAGCGAAGCATGCCAGCCATGACGCATGGCCGCGCAGCACGGCTCAACTCACCTGTTGGGCGCGTTGGTGGTCGGCCTCACCAAGCTTCTGGATAGTTCGGGGGGGACGGGCATCGGTCACAATTTCGTTCTGCGACGGTGAGGCAAACAGGCGAGACGGACAGCCCCAGACTCTTGCTGACGACGCGGATGCGTTGGTGACGGTTCATGTCGGCCACGCGCAAAAGAGGGGTAGGGCGAGGGGGGAAGATTTCTTAGAAGCACCCCTGCTTCTTAGAAGGCGCCAGCCCCCTCCCTGCGCGCCGCCAACACTAGCGAGGGTGATTCTGATGATGGTGATGATGCCGAAGACGATGACGATGAGCATGGCAATGCGGGCTTCTGGCCGGCAAGCCGAGATCACTCTGCTGGACCTTGGGCGCCTCGGGCGCGCATGCTGCGCCGCCCCACGTCTCCCAGTCCCCAGGCCGCCTCGCTTCACTGCCAGAGGAGGAGGAGGCGGAGGAGGAGGAGGAGGAGGAGGAGGAGGGGGAGGAGGGGGAGGAGGAGGAGGAGGAGGAGGAGGAGGAGGATGCGGAGGAGGAGGAGGAGGAGGAGGAGGAGGAGGAGGGGGAGGAGGAGGAAGGGGAGGAGGGGGAGGAGGGGGAGGGAGGACGAGGAGAGGATGTTTGACACCAGGCCCTGGTCACACGCCGCCCCTCGTCGCCCAGGCCTTCGGCCGCCTCTCGTCGCCCAGGCCCCGGGGCCCGTCCCCGCTCGGCGTGGGGGCTGCCCAGTGCTCCTCGCTTCTGGCCGCGCGCAACCCAGACATCGGGCGTCTCGAAAAAATCGAGACAGAGGTTTTTCATAGTTTTTGGCCTCTTGGGGCCCTTGTCGGGCCTCGGGACCGTCAAAAACCACTCGGGATGACAAGCAGGCCCCAGGGAAGTGGTCGGGAGGTCGGGGGCCCGCGTCTCAAAGACATCGAGACGTCGGATGTCTGGGAAGGCAGGCTGTCCGACCCGGCCATGCGCCCGCTGCCCCGTTTTCTGGAGCACCGCTCACGAGAGAAGTCCGAGCTCGGAACCTGCAAGCAGCGGCGGTCAGTCCATGATGGTGGTGGTGCTGCTGCTGCTGCTGACGATGCTGATGCTGGTGCTGATGATGATGATGGTGATGGATACGTGATGGTGGTGGTGGTGGTGGTGGTGGTGGTGGTTGTGACAAGGAGGATGAGAAGATGAGGGAGACAGGATAATGATGAGGATGATGGTGGCGAAGATGAGAAGGATGATAATGAGGCAGTGCAAGAGGAGGGGGATGATGCGGTAGGAGGGTTAGTTATGGGATGACGCGGATACGGTGGTGGAGGAGGAGGTGGAAGAAGTTGGACAGGAGAAGACGAGTCGGACGGGCAGGAGGAGGAGGAGGAGACTCAGGATAGGAGTATCGGGATAAGACGGTGATGGAGAAGGAGGTAGATGATAGTGCAGTTGACGAGGACACTGATGACGACGAGAATCAGAAGAAAGGACGAGGTAACCGAGGAAGAGGAGGAGGAGGAGGAGGAGGATAAGGGGAGCGGCAGCAGGACGAGGGCGTGGATGAGCAGGATGAGGACGAAGAGGAAGCAGGATAAGGACGATGATGATGATGATGATGATGATGATGATGAGGATGAGGATGAGGAAGATGACGATGACGATGACGATGACGATGACGATGACGATGATGATGATGATGATGATGATGATGATGATGATGATGATGATGATGATGATGATGATGATGATGATGATGATGATGATGATGAGGAGGAGGAGGAGGAGGATGAGGAGGAGGAGGATGAGGATGAGGATGAGGATGAGGATGAGGATGAGGATGAGGATGATGAGGAGGAGGAGGAGGTGGAGGTGGAGGAGGAGACAGGCTGGCAACAACTTCCACAAGTACCGCGTCAAGCGCAACAGCTGGCCTAAGGTGCGCGGTTGCGCCATGAACCCTGTGGAGCATCCTCACGGCGGAGGGAACCACCAGCATGTCGGGCACCCGACGACCACCAGCCGGAACGCGCCACCGGGTGCCAAGGTCGGCTTGATCGCGGCGCGCCGCACAGGCCTGCTCAAGGGCGGCAAGGGGAAGATGAACAAGTGAGCTGCCGAGGCTCGTTGAGGATGATGAGGAGGAGGAGGAGGAGGAGGAGGAGGAGGCTGAGGACCAGTGCAAACCCAAGACGGATCAACGATAGTGGAAGAAACCCTCCCTCCAAGCTCCCTCTTCCCAGGCCCCTACAAGGATTCATGCCCACTGAGGGAAGGGCCCCGCTGGGAGACAGCCGTTTGAAGATCCTGACATCTTGAATAGTGTTAAGACAACGTTCTCGGAACTCCAACGCAATGAATCAACCTGACTGTTGCGTCTCGACGATCCTGAATTGTGCCAGAGCATCATCACTGGGATTTCAACACCGCGAATCAACTCAACTGTGGCGCCCTGACAGTCCTGAACCGTTCCAACCCACCATTTCTGGTACGTCGACCCGGAGAATCTGTGACACTCTTGCACATATTTGAGACGAATGTGCGCAAGGTTGAGGCGCTATCCACATTTTGAAATGAGCCGCCCTCAATCCGTGAAGCCCTTACAAATTATTGACGCTTCGCGTGACCCCACCAGCGACCAGAGGCAACCATCTGACGGTGAGGAGATGGCAACCATCTGACGGTGAAGAATGGCAATTGCTACACCACTGTACCTCCTTCACCGAAGCGCACCACGTGATTCGTGTCCTATGCAACGGCTTACCTGGCTCGGCGAGACGGAGGGGTGAAGATGAAAGGAGACCACACATGGGTTCATGTGGGGCGCCAACCAAGAACGTGTGGATCACCGCCAATCCCAACGACGAGGGCGCAGCCTGGTGCGCGAGATGCATCGGCCCAGGCCCACACCCATCCGCCCTCTGGCAATCGCTGGTTCCCGGACTGCTCCCCCTCCCTTCGAGATCAAGCAGAGGCGTACGCTCTTACCTATGGTCACCTGCACCCGCCCAACAGAGACGGACCATGCTGACGCTGCCCACTCGTGGGCTCGGCGAGGCAACCACCGAACACTTGTGGAACTGGTGCCCAGCCGCGGCACTTGCCTGGTGTACCGTCAGGGGCCCCGACGACCCACGGACCCTCGCTCAAGCCATCACCAGCAGCGGCGAGCATCAGCCCTTGCTCGCGAAGTTGTTACACCAAGTATCCTTCAGGTATTGCGTCAACCTCACAGCCTCCCCCCTGGATGCAACCGAAGCCGCCAGGCTCATCCTGCAGGGCAGAGTCGTTGCCGACATCGACCAACAAGGGGACAGCGAAGACGAGGGGCAGGGGGGTGGACGAACCACCCAGGAGCGACAACCCAGACGAAACGTCTGTCTGGTCCGTCATGCGTGACACCTGCAGTACTTGCAACCCATGCGCCACCCCCGAAAGAGCGATCTGCGGAGCTGCCAGGCCCCATACGCAGCGACATGCCCGCAGGGCCGGAGGAGAAATCCGCAGGCTCCCGGTGGTCACCAGACACCACAACCCAATGGATAGACTCGCTGTCCTACAGGCGCCTCAGACCCGGGCCGCAGGGATGCCCCCAGGACAAGGCTGGTTCCCTTGCCCCAGGACCGATGACTCTCCCACTGCCAGCTGGACCTCCGTCTTCTGCCGCGAGTGCGGGTCTCACACCACCACGCTGATCGCTAACACTAGCCTGGAACCTGGCGACGAGGTCACAATCCGCAGCTCGCCCCTCCCCGACTCCAATAGTACCCAATGGCCCTATGAGGTTACCTTTGATGGTGGTGCCAGGTCCATCGAGGGTGCCGACAAGGTCTCAGGCGCCTGTGCCATCCTGTGGCGCCACAACCCCACCACTGGCTCTCCTTAAACCCTGGCCATCGCCGTCGTTGCGCTCCTGGACTGTGTCAACGCACAAATGGCCGAAGTTGCGGGCTGCCGTGCTGGTCTGGCCCTGCTTCCCCACCTCAAGGGCCCGATCCGAGCAGCCAGGGTCGTCGGCGATAACCTCGCCGCCGTGCAATGCGGAGCGGGCGCCGCCAGGTGCCGAAGGCTCAACTTGCCCGGCAGATGGAGGACGCCCTTGGGCAGGCGGAAGGAGCGGGTTGGGTACTCACGTGGCGAGCTGTCAGACGGAGGCTGAACAAGGCCGCGGACAGTCTCGCCACCATCGGGGTCTACTGGGCCGACGCCCTCCGCAAGGAAGGCGCGAGCACGGTCACCGCGCACATGCAATCGGCGAGCGATGCCCCCACCCGTCCAGCATATTTTTCCTTCCACGACAGACCGGAGATCAACCTCTGCGACCCATCCGAGTCGGCCGCCGCCGCGTTCCAGCTGGAAAATCCTCCACCCCCCTCCCCCACCCTGGCTCCTCTCCGATCTGATCGCCGATCGATCGATCCCCGCGGCAACTGAGGTCCCCGCTGCCTTGGCTCAAGCCAGGTGTCCGCAGCCGACCATTTACCAGTGCTCTGCGGCTTTTGGCTGCGCCCCCCCTCTGCAGGATGACGAAGAGGAGCAATAATGGACCACTGGCCCGTTGGCCTTCCCCCGCAGCCCCCTTGGCTGGAGGCCCGGGCAAGCTTGGCGGCCGTTGTCCCTTCCGTGCGCGCGAGTGCCCGTGGCTTCGACGGGCGCATTTCCACCGCGAATGGCGCCGGTGGTGCGAGGTGCGCCAGAGACACTGCGACGGCAAGGGGCATCTCCTGGGAGGGGCCCACGCTATCGAAGCAGGAAAGCAGAAAGACACTGGCTGGCCGGACCCAAGACTGCATACCGCTCCAGGCAAGCTCTGGACCAGGACCTTGGGCAAAGACTACGACCAGGTGACCGAGCGCACCATCAACAGACCACAATGGCTTGGTTGGACTCTGCCAGACCCAGTTAAGGAGGGCACCCTGCCCCACCTCCCAGGGTGGACCTTCCCAGAAGACTGGGATTACGCCCCAGTCAACTTCCCGTGCCGCGACGACCCGTTCGACTTCGCCACCCCCACCGACGCCGTTCACTCGACGGATCTACGACCGCCTAACCAGTGCCGAGCGGGCTGGGGAAAAGGCTCCCAGGAACGCGTCCAGAGCCTGGGGGGGCACGGCACCGCCGCCACCGCCCCCGACAGACGCGCCCGCTGCATCACTCGGATGGCCTCCCGCCCCGCGGCGCCCGTGGGAGGGGCGTAACAATGCATCCATCAGGGCCTCCTCGCATGTTTCAATGGACCGGATCAGGCCCGAACACGAGGGAGACAGTGGCCGTCGCAATTGGCCAGACGCCCTCCCCCCTTATGAGCAGGCTGGTAAGAATTGAGTCATCAGCGGCTGCAGCAGCGGACGCCATCACCCGTCTATTCGCTGTGCCCACCAGCAGCACTGTAGCCCAGTTTCTCCTTCACACCCCCACTGGCTCAGTCCACTTGGGAGTGACCATCCCAAGGCATTGGGGGCAAGACTGCGACAAAGAGGACGCACCCTCGACAGGCTGGCCTGGGCCGAGTGCATGGCAGCCGCCGAAACCGTCTGGGACGGCTCCGTCAAGGCCAGAACGGACTTGGTTAGAAGGCAGAGCTGCGCGCTAGGCGTGGCAGTCACCCCCATCGACGAGCAGTCCCCCTGTCTACTTCTCGACCAGTTCAAGCTGCGGAATGCATTTCTCACCCAGCAGGGGAAGTTGCTGCTGCACCTGCAATGGCCCCAAGAGTTCAAGGTCCTTCTCAAGGGGCAGGAAGCAGGGCAGGAAGCCCGCGCGCTACTCCCCAGCATCACCGGCCCATCCGTGGACCAGGTCGCCTCGCTCAAGTTTCTGCGGCCACCCGACTTCGGTGGTGCCATCCCTACAAACGACTGCGATGCTTTGGGTTTCAGACGGGGGGCCAAGTGCCGCAGCAACCAGGCCTTGGCTTCATGCGACGAAGACAGATACGGGAGGTTCCACGCTGACGACAGGATCCCAAAGCCGGACAAAGTGGGAGACGCGTGGTACAGGCTGGACAAGGCACCCCTCGGTTACAGTACCGGCGGATCTCGACCTCCATCATCGAGATCTACAAATTGCAGCAGGCCCCCGCGGACCTGGTGGGCACGCCACTCGACGTCATCGCGTGCCTCCTCACCTTCCGCACTACCGACAGGAAGAATACGACGCTGGCCAACAGCGTGGAGAATACCAGAGTCTGCGGGCAAACCTTCCTCTCAAGGGCCAGGGCCACCATCAGGGTCCAGGCCCCTGGCACGATGCCACCCACAGTGGTGAGCAGCGGAGCGACAGACTCGCAACACCCGACCGAGGCACCGACCGCCACCCCCTTCTCCGACCATGAAGTGGACAATGCAATCGGACAGGTATTTCAACGGGTCAGGGACCTACCTTCGACTGTGGCGCTCGATGAAGGCGCTAGGCGCCACCAGCTCAACGGCGACGCCACGCGGGCCCTTGCTGCCACCGTGCAACGCCACGTAACGGTCGTACACGGTCCCCCGAGAACCGGCAAGACAGTCTTCTCCGTCGCCACCATGGACACCTGGGCCGACTCACTCCCTGAAGGGCAAGCGGTGGCGCTGACTGCAGGTTCCAACACGGCCGCGGGCCAGCCAGCCCTCGGTCTCGGCAGCGCACACCAGGCGGGCAGACTAGGGCAGAGGACAGGCTACCCCAACAGATGCGTCCGTCTGGCCAAAGACTTCTGAGTGACGAATGCACTGGCCCCGCTCACCCCGGGGGGGCACTTCCTCAGGGCGCACGGTAGGCCCCCATTCGAAGGCGGATCCTCCACAGAATTCACCGCATTCCGTACCCAGCTCCTCAAGGCCGCCAAGGCGATCATCGCAGCGCACGAATCCGCGGAGGCCCTCAGGAACGCCGCCCCGGTAGCCTTGCTCCTCATCGACGAGGCAGGGCAAGCCCATGAGCTTATGGCTGCTCGACAGCGCCATCCGCTCCGGCGGGCATCTGGTGCTGGTAGGCGACCCCGAGCAGCCCCCCCCGCCGTCCTTTCCAGAAAGGCCGCCGACCTCGGGTTCTGCCTCTCCATCTTCGACCGGCTGCGCACCGCCTTGGGAGACGAAACAACAGCTGTGGTGCAGCTAAGCCTCTGCTACCGCATGCACCCCCTGCTTCTGTCATGGCCTAACGTT